GAAAACATTTTTCTTTAACTTATAGTAAAAAATAGTTTGGGGGCTAAAAATGTTGTGAAAACCTGATTTACCCTGAAGAATGGACGAGAAAGCCTTCTGCAAAAAAAAGATTATGCGCCGCCATGCCTGTTTCCCACGAGTGTCGCGCGTGATTCGCGCGGCTAGAACCCAGTCTTAAAACTGAAACTGTACGTCCAGACGACACTACTGCATACAATTTTTATGTTATGAACGGCAAAAATAGTTTATAACCTCTACATACCTTCCCTAGATAAAGCTGCTTCAAAATCTTCATCACTGGAAGATTCGGATGGCTCATCACGGAACTCATGCATTTGATCATCAGGGTCATGCAGTCTTGCTTTCTTTTCATCATCTCCCAAACTGTGCAAACGTCCCGCGTCATCTTTCGTTATCCAACGTTCACTTTTCACATCATAATAAGCCTGTCGATGTTTCCAGAAAGTCGACCTAGATAAGTATTCATTGCAATGTCCACACCACACTCTAGTTTGTTTTCTCAGACGGGAAGACATTTTCCAGCGAAATACATTCGCGCTCGCGACAAAATATGCAAGTTCTCAATGATCACTCGTCTGGTGCGAGATTCTGTTCCATGTCATAATGGCGTGTTATCGGCGTGACATCGTGACAAGCCGCCAACCAATCACGCACTGTCTTTATAGCAAAAGCCAATCAAAAACCATCATTTATGGCGCGGATTTGGCGGTTCGCTTTGTCGGCAGTTTTTGTCGGCGTGACATGAAAGCAGTCGTATTTCCTGTGTTGCGCGTCCTTTCGTCAGTTCAGAAGCCTCTTGCTTGAGTTCGTGGCCAGATTCGTGATAGACTGCACTCTTCATAATGGAAGATCAATATGTCGTTTTACTTGAAAGGGTTGTGGCTGAAAATGTTCGTCTCAGAGAAGCGATGGAAGCGCGAGACAACGAACAACGACGAATGTTTGAGGAACTTGCTTCAAAAATAGAGAGCTCTAACACTGAACCAGAAAGATCAGGACGATCGAGTAGGAAAAGAAGGAGGAAAATCTCAGTCCCGCAGCAGTGTCGCGTAAGTATAAATATTTCTGTTACTTTTCTGTTATCAGAAATACTTTGGAGCGACTGATTGCGACCACGAATTGTAAATTCAAAGTTTAAGTTTACTTGCTCATGCTCGATTACTCGCTGGGTGACAAACAAAACACAGCGTGACATGGATTGAGCTTCGATCTTCATTTATGTTCTCCGTTCTTTAGCGACATTTGTGACAGTTTATGCTAAGCGTTCGTTAGTTTTACGTTCGTTTGTAAGATGTAAAAATCATAGCAAGGAAAATTCTCACATTAAGATGGGACAAAGCCATTCTCGACCCCAGAGCCCTTGTCTTTTATCACGTGACCTTACGGCGACAAGGGCTCTGGGTAACTCTGCGCAGCCGTAGCCAAAATCTGGCTATATGGGTTTCCCAGCGCATGCTCGGGCAGTTGTGGTTTTATGCAAATTTAGATTTGGCAGTTGTGGTTTTATGCAAAATTAAATTTAGATTTGGCAGTTGTGGTTTTATCCAAAATTAAATTTTAGTTATTATTCTTGTGTTGCTAGTTAAGTTAAGCCATTTTTTTCAAAGTACACGAACAATGACGTACAGAATGTGGCTTCTTTAAATATGAACAACATACACAAGGATACCGAAAAAAGATTTTTTCTTTTGTAATTGCAGCAAGACGTTAGAAAGATGTACAAAGCCCTTTCACAGAATGAAGATTTTGATGGCTTTAAGTTGGATGAGAGGTAACAATAGCCATTAAATACAATCATGTATATTGGGAGGCGTATACATGTATACTGAGCAGGAGGTCTGTATGGGAGAATCTTGACCTTGGTCATGAGTACAGACCTCACTGCGTTCAGTCTGTACTTCTGACGTCCTCGGTCAAGATTCTCCCATACAGACCTCCTGCTCAGTTAAGGTGGCCGAACATAGTTTTCAGCGCGCGCTCTAAAGGCTTTGCTGATGCTAGGCAGCGCGCGCACAAAGATTACAAAATAACAAACATGGCGCCGATAAAGCGAGGTTTATTTGTTTTATGCCTGTGAAGTATGTGGTATTTTCCTTCTTAAAATGACACACACTGTGTCAGGTTTGATCTTTTGTTGGACTGTTATGAAATAAATATTCAGCATATAAAAAATCCAGCATTTTTTTAGGATATTCGCCATTATGCCAGAAGCCAATGAATGCATTGCCATGGCAACAGCACACACGCCACCTTAACTATCAAAATACGAAAGCCCATCCTTTTATCCAATATCATGCAAAGTTTGGAGACTTAGAGATCAGTCGTTTTAGAGAAACGGTAAATGGGGCGCAGGTATCATATAAACTGTGTTCAGCCACCTTAATAAGAGGTAAATATAATATAAATATACAAATAAATAAATCCCATTTTTACTTTTTTAGCTTTTTAGCAGAGGCTAACCAGACTGCCACCAAGACAATTATTGAGGCAGTCATAGCTGATCGTGGTGGCACTGAAAATTGCCCCTGGTCTCCAGCTGAAATGAAAGGTAACTGCACCTCCCCCTCTATTTTATAGTTTCTGGAACAGAGGTTCAAACCACACATGTAAAACATGGTTAATTGATGCCTCCGAGGGGGAATGGACACAGTTTACTGGAAACTTCCCCTGTATTACTTTTCCATGTTTACCTGGTCTGTCCATAAAGAAGTTCTCTCATATTGGAGAGGGAGGGGGTATGAAAATGTAGTTCTCAGGGGCTCATATCACCTGACATAATCTTTTTGGTGTCTTATCTTCACATCACTGTTAAAACATCCATTATCAGCTGTTCTTTTTTATTTATATCAGATGGAATTGGGTGTTGTCAACTGAAATGATCACACTATTTATATTTACATTGATAAGTCACTCTAAGGGCTGTTGGCACAATGTAGAACACATTCTTTCTTTTCAATGTAAATTTCCATTACTTGAACATGTACTAATATCAAGGACAATTTTTTCCTGTTAAGGGGCTGCTGCGACATACTTAAAGAGTTTGTATGATGCTGCCATGAGGGCAAAAAAGGGCAAGCTGGAGGCTCACAAAGATCTCTGCCGAAGGCAGGGAAGGATGAGAGATGTAAGTTGTTTCCATTATGATACACTTGTACATGCAATAACACATTTATAAAGTACTAAAAATTACCATGATTAGTTTTTCCTTTTGGTTGCTAAGCATAAACAACATCCAGTAGCATTACTGTTTACAAGAATATATGTAAATACATGTACACACAAAACTTGCGTGTAAGAACCTTTATTTGTTAAGTCCAACAAAATAGATTCTTGCATTTAGGGATAGTAATTGAAAGTTCTTAATTTTTATGAAGAAATTTGTTGTTGACTATCAGAAAATAAATAAACAAACTCACCGGGTAATTTCTAACACTGCAATCTTACACCCAAACTTTATCATAAATAAATTTAACTGTAAGCCACTTATGAGAACCTGCCTGACCTTTCCTGGCTAAACAGGTTCATATATTTTATAAAATTGCAATTTTTCTGCCAGTAGGTTCTTAAACCAGTAAGTTATTTTACTCAGGTTTCTAACCGTATCGTCATGTTACAGATACAAGCATCTTTTGAAAGGAAACAATTGGTGCTGCACTTGTTAACCTTGTGCTATTTTGACTTTCCTAGAAAACTCAGAAGAGGCTGGTAACACTGAAGACCATGCCCTGGTCAAATGAGAAAAAGGCACAGGTTGAAGAAGCTGTAGGGAGCCTAGCGTACACAAGCTCAGATGAGTCTGACTTTTCTGAGGATGAAAGTGGTCAGAGCAAGTTAAGCAGATACCTTGTCAAAAGGCTTCCATGGGAGAGGACTTCTCTAACTAAAGCTAAGAGAGAGCTTGATGAGGCTTATTCCAGAAGCCTCGAATCCAAAAGGGTACACCTGGTGACAAGACGCCCGCACCCAATGCCATCAACAAGACGCCGACCCACTGAGCCTCTAGAATGGGCAGTCAGGGCTGAGAATCCAGCCCCTACACCTGGCACCCGGCCATCTTCATCTACATGTACTAGAACTCCAAGTCATCCTACGCCAGCAGTTATACCACCCACCAGCACCCGTCCTCCTTCATCTGGAACTCCACCTACCCGCACCCGTCCTCCTTCATCTGGAACTCCACCTACACGCACCCATCCTCCTTCATCTGGAACTCAACCTACCCGCACCTGTCCTCCTTCATCTGGAACTCCACCTAACAGCACCCATCCTCCTTCATCTGGAACTCCACCTTCCCGTACCCGTCCTCCAACAACTGGAAGTCCACCCACCCGCCCTTCTCCTTCATCTTGTCCAGCAAGAACTACAACTCCATCCCCCAGTACCAGTTCTGCCCGTCTGCCAGCAACAGTGACGCCATCCCCCAGCACCCTTTCTTCAAGATCTGGAACTTCATCCCTCTTACCTGACTGTAGCTCCACTCCCAAGACATCCAAACCAAAAAAAACTTTAAAGTCAAAAAAGGACGTGGCCCATAGGCGTTCTGCTTCGCCAGCTTATTGATATTTTTACAAGTACATTCTTTTTTTTAATTTATATTTTTGTAACAACTTTTTTTGCAGTGATGCTACCAAATAGGTAACAGTTTCTATTTTTACTACACTTGGGATTGCATTTTTTTTTATTTTGACACTTGTTTCAAGGCATTTGATACAAACATTGATACAAGAACATGTGTTAAAGTTTCTGTTCAACTTGTTTTTTAAAAAAAGAACGAAGTTTTCAACTTTACATATAGTTGTGCATTTCAAGAAAAAAGCCTTCAATATTTCAAGCAAGAATTAAATTATAAGACAAGGTATTCAAAGATTCTGCTTTAGGAATGAAGTTTTCAATATTAGTGGTAACTGATGTTATTTTGTAACAAGGTTTTCAATTTTGCATTTGTCTGTTACAGTTAGACTTAAAGAGATGATAGAACAAGATTTTAAATGTTTCTGTTCAACTTGTCTTTAAGATAAGAATGAAGTTTTCAATTTTACATATAGTTGTGCATTTCTAGAAAAAATGTTTAAATATTTCAAGCAAGAATTAAATTATAAGACAATTTATTCAAAGCTTCTGCTGTAGGAATGAAGTTTTCAATTTTACTTTATTTTAAGTGGTAACTGATGTTATTATTGTAACAAGGTTTTCAATTTTGCATTTGTCTGTTACAGTTAGACTTAAAGAGATAGAACAAGATTTTAAATGTTTCCGCTACAGTATGAAAATTGATTTAAGTACAAATGGTGACATATAAGAAAATGATTTTTGAACAAATAAAACAGAATTTGATTGAATACAGCAGATTGATTGATTTAACTGGCTCCTTTCCTTCCCAACGTTGTATTTTCTCATTTTATTTTCCCTCTAGGGTTTAAAATAATTATGCAAAGAAGAAAATAGCAGAAAATGTAATCATGTCTGTTGTTGAGCTTTGCCTTCCAGCCAATACATGAGCATGTTGCAACTTTACACCAGTTATACATTTAAATCTGGCTTACTAAGATGCCTAAACGCTTTATTTAGATGTAAAGGTGGCGTAAATGTGGAGTTTATACCAGCTATACGTATTATGTCTGTTGTCGCGCTTTTTCTGCAAGACAAGAGCATGTTAACTTTACATCACAGTACATATAAATCTGGCCTAAAGATGCCTATACACTTTATTTAGATCTATGTAAAGGTGGCGTAAATGTGAAGTTTATTCAAGCTTTACGTTGGCTTTTAGTCCACTTACAGGTGTTTCTTTACTCCAGCTTTACGCAAAAGTGTAAATGTAGCGTAAAGCTTAACTTTACGTAATGTAAAGGTCGTGTAAAGGTGTGTAAATCCAAACTTTACACCAGCTTTACGCTCACATTATGCTAACTTAAATTTGCCTTTTCATGCTGTGTGAACACTGTGCCTAGTACGCTTGCTCGTTTGTTACCGGTGAGAACTCGAACGTCACCAAGGGTAACTGTTTTTGTGTATTTTCAATATAGTCGGTACATGAGAGGTTGTACCATAGCGGCTGAAGGGCTTTGAGAGACACATTTTTCAATTTCAGAATTGTTAATGAAACTTATCTAAGGACTATATGCAAAATCATTTTTTTTTTAATTGTTTCATGTACACTTTTCCAAGTTTTCATCGAACTAATAACGAATCCCTCAAGTAGGCTAGGCCAAGGACTTGGAGGATTTTTTTACCGTCGTCCCGGTGGAGTGAGTGGGGAATTTAAGATAGTTCACTATGGTAGGCTGGGACGGTCGGATGCGTATACGGGCGGCCTGGGGCCATGACGGTAACAAGGCGCGAAAATTTTCAATTCAAGATCGGACAGCGAAATAGAGGACGGTGAAGTCGTGTGCGAAACTCGCTTCTAATTTCTTTCGCAGATGGCTTAAATACTGAAGAAAAGTTGGACCACTATACGTTTCTGGGAAACTGCCCACCTACTCCTCCCCTGAGACAACGTTAACACTTGCTTCTCACTTAGGGCTAAATGTTGGCTTAGGGGAGGGGTAGGTGAGCAGTTTCCCAGAAACATATACTACTAAAAAAAAATTCACTTGTTTAAAGCATTCTAGACATTGAACATCGCGAAAATGAATCCAGTTCGACTAATTATTTAAGTTCGACGTCTGAATCAACCCCGAACTTATATCACTTTGGTCGACCTAAATAGGTATTAAGTTCGGTACATGAAAAGATGGACGCTTGACCTGGGCCTTACCTTTCTTTTCGGCAATTTTCCTCTGCCACGACACTAGGTAGAAAACAAACAGTCGCCATGCGGCCGCGAGCTAAGTTATGAATGAACTCAGACATTTTTCCTTTTTTTTTTTCATTTCATCGCCGGTAAATCAATGAAAACACAAGCCAAGGCATATTTAGCCTGCGTAGCAAGCGTTTCCGTGCTTTTTTAGAGAGTCAAAGGCCGCGCACCAAAACCGAAAATCTCGTTCATCGGTCTTTCTTTGCTCCGAAACAGCACGGAAACGCTTGCTACGCAGGCTAAGGCATATTTAACCCATTGGTTACTCAGTTTTAGAAGAAAAGAGACAATAAGTATGCATGAACTCTTATCGGTCTCACCGTTGTCTTTACGATGATAGCCTGCGAACGGCAGACGTTTCTTCTCGCTCATCGACGCTGAGGGACGTTTCGCGCGGAGGAACGTCTGCGACTCAGCGACAGAAATTCCATACTGATGACGTAAATCAATGTTTACATAATAAATCCGGTAGTCGTGGGTTTCCAAATGCAAATTTAATCAATTTTACATTTCTCCTAGTCGATTTTGGAAAAGTGTGGTGTTTACCTGCGAATGAGCTCCAGCAAAACTTAAATGCTTCTTCTAGAGAAGACTATACTCCACAAATATTGACGGTTTTGTGAGAGATTCATCGCGTTTGCATTTGACCTGTGTGGCCTTTTGTCTTTTGTCCGTCTTTTGTAAACAATAGCTAGAACTATGAAACTATTCCGTCGACCAATTAGCGCTTCTGACCGGATTCCGGACAGATTTTGCGTCATCAGTATGGAATTTCTGTCGCTGAGGCGTACACGTTCCTCCTCGCGAAACGCCCCTCAGCGGCGATAAGCGAGGAGAAACGTCTACCGTTCGCAGGCTGTTACGATGAGAAAGCCGGAGAAAACATACTGTCCCAGAAGAACGACGGTAAAAGGTCACGCGTGTTTTGAGTGACGTGACAATATCCAACCGTCCCAGGCGACCGTAGTGACCGATCTTAAAGTCCGTACTGGACGATGATACGCGGTTGAGTCACTTGTTTTTCCTCAGCTGTTCCAGTTCAGTACTGGCATCTTGTTATTCTCGATAATTCTTTCACATATTAAATCGTCTTCGCTGCCAAATGAATGTAACGACTCTCCGAAGGTTGTTAAAATGAACCCGGACAAACTCAAAGAAACAGACTTGATAACTTAAATCATGCTCTACAATATCCCATGATTCAAATTTAGCTCACAATTTCTAGAATTCCGGTAGACAACAGTTCTGGTCAGAAATTTCTAAATACATTTACAAAACCAATACTCCCCTTTTACCTATCATCCATATGGCTGATGGTTGTGGTGTGATGGTCAGTTGTTTAGTGCTTATTTCTTAGGATCGAGAAGCGCGGGTTCTTTGTGTTATGTTATTGCCGAGTCCTACAGAGTCTTACTCCGTCCAAGGACCTATTCCTCTAAAGTACCACTAACTTTTGGGACTGGAAATCAAATATTCAAATCAAAATCTAAAAGACAAAAGTGCGGATTTTTTCCAAAAATATGGTCCATTTTGTTTTGTTAACTAAATAGTTTATTCATATCAACTGCACAAGTATTAAAACCTCGATCTTGAATATAAACAATAGCAGCTTTCTAGGCTCCTTAATCCTCGAGACTTTCGCCCAACCACAAGGTAAATATAACTTCACTTTAAGGGTGATGGAATGGGAGAATGCCAAGTAACACTCTTTGTTGGAGAATCTGCATGGGTGGATCTTCGTGCGATAATATCATTGATGGGGCGTAAAGGCATTTGAATGCACTTGAGTGTGATGATCTGAGGGCCTAATTACAGGGAGGTGGGGAACCCCAGGTAGGTGAGGTAACCCCCTTAGGTGGGGTAACCCGCCTGTCCATATAATCTTGATTTTTAATTTGATCACCTTTACATGATAGGTGGGGTGACCAGCCACATGTTACCTCAGCTATCTGGGGTCCCCCAACTCCACGTAAACAGGCCCTAAAACGGCCTCATTCTTCAAAATTAACATGATCATTATTATCATCATCATCATCTTCATCATCATCATCATCATCATCATCATCATCCTCGTTAGACATTATCATTATATGTCACTTTGTTAAAGTTCTTAGAATCAAAGAAACGCAAGTCACCTTGATCAATAAAAGACTTCTTGCGTGTTCCATTTACGTACACCTCCCATCCGTCTATATCCATTGTTACGCAGTAGTTGGTCCACTCGTTAAAACGTACGAAAACATTGAAAGTGCTATTAAAATATTCAAAACTAAAAGTTGGTGATGCGAGCTACATAGAGGATATTTACATGGTCGCTCGGTGATAGAAAATTCCCCTTCGAAAGTTAAAAAATATTTCTCAAGTAAGCGCAGTGAACGAGTGAAATATTTTTTTCAATACGAGAAGAGACATTTCGTATCTCCAAACTGCCACATAATGTTCTGTTTATTGCATAAACACTAATGAAATACCAAACCATTTCAGTTAATAGTTTTTGCTGTGAAAGGTGTGATTTATTATGTAGTCATAGCCACGGTGACCTTTTCACGTGTGAAGATAACAGGTTATTTTCACATGTGAAGATGTCATGTTTTACGAGATATTTCTTTGGCGTTGATATAATAAACTGGGTTTATTATTTGAGTCAGTTATTTTGCAACGTCTAGATGTTAGCTCTTTCGAAGTCTTCTCATTCTTCGCCTTAGCCTAAAACGAAACCCACCGTTTACATCCGTAGATTGATTGACAAAACATGCCACAGAAATGTACTGGCGGTACCTTCTAATATTTCATCCTGTTCTAGTGGGTACAAATTTACTTGTCAGTGTGCAACACACGAGCGAGTCACCATGTGCGACCAACTTTCATAAGTGAACATTTCCCACCATAAGCTACCACATTCTTAAAACAACTAATTTTTTTCCCAGCAATTTAAAGGCTTATCGCTGAAACAACTCATGGGCGACTGCTTCCTCTTCCTTGACAGAGGTGATTGTTGCATTTTCTCTATTTTTTTAAAACCTGTTTCAAGCATTCCCAGCACCTAAGGTATGGATCTATGTCTTTGCTCACCATACATACTAGACTACTACGAAGAATTTTCACAGGACAACCGCTTAGCCGTGCGCTTAAATTTCTTCTCCAAAGACACCCCCTAGCCTATGGTTTGATCCTCGTAGGCTGCCTGAACGATCGCCTCATGCATAAAGGGTCCGACGTAGTTGTTAGTCTTGAACTGTTTATATTATCAACGCTCAGTGTAGAAATGTTCCTAAGTTAAACATGAGATACAGCCCGTACAGCATTCTTCGAGTACTAAAGGGAGGGGGATATTAGGTTCTCATGTGTATGCATGACTATGATCTGTCCAATATCTGAACATGTTGTCGACCAGAACTCAACAGACGTCTATGACAAAGTGTAACAAATCACAAATCACATGTAAACTCACAAAAATACGTGTAAATGACTTGACCTTCAAATAACAGCATTATTCATAGTTAAGACCACAACAAACATTTTTCATTACCTGTATGCACCTCCCATTTCCATGTAAAGCTTGTCAGATCGTCGGCCCAAGCAAAACTGATAGCCAAGAGTGCAGACAACAGTCTCAGAAAACAAAAAGAATCTTTAAATTTGACCCAGGTACATGAAGTTAATTCATCCAATCGCTCATTCAAGCCTTCAACTTCAACTTCAAGGTAGTCAGTTGTTGTAGGACTTTCAAACAAGAAACCCTCTGTTTTGGCTGACTCACAAGCTATAAAATAGGAACATGCCATACTGCAAATTTAGAAAATCTCAGGTAACCCAGCGTAGTGAGATTAATGTTTGCAGATGCGAGGCTTGCGAGGAGTTTTGCTTTGTTTTGTTTTTTAATAAAGTTAAACTCGTTTGAAAACTGAAACTGGTGTTGTTACCGGTGGAGTCCTGGGCCCACTTTGTTTTACTCAGCCACAATTTTATGTTGTTTTTTTTTTTAAATTAAAAAAGAGTCCTTTTTTAAGGGAAATTAAAACAAAGGTTGATTAAAAGTTGAGTTTTCCTTCCTTGTTTAGTATCCCAACTATATTCAATAAATCCCCACTACAGGTGTATACGGAATATAAAACAAATTCGGTGGAGGCTGGGGTACACCTTGTTTGATACCACAGATCATGCTATTTAAATCTTATGTGCTAACTAGATGGTTAATTCTAGAAGGGAGAGGTCATCTTAACTGTGTAATTTTGTTAATTTGTGCCGCGGCTAGTGTTGCGGGATCGCCATTCTAATTCTTTACGGGACCAGCAATGATCTGTTTCATGCATATATTTATTTTGTTTATTGCATTTGCTGATGTAAGAGACCTTCTCAGACTGCTAACAATCTGCATGTGAATTATTATAGCAAAGTTAAAGAATGTTATTATGGAATAGCTTGTTAAATTATAGCTAGAACCCATAATTTACAGTGGCCCGATTGATTCCATGTCACCTAAAATCACCTTTGATTCCAGTGTATGTGCGCAAAGAAAGGATATAAAGTCTAATTTGTTTTTAGGTTACTTGGTTAAAGAGAATAATACTGTGAAGTAAAATGTTTCTTACGTTCACAAGGCTCCATAGAGGCGAGTTTCTTTTTCAATTCTTCCACTTTTTTCTTGAGCTTCCTAACACGAGGACCTGTATGGATCACTGTAACTCGGCCTGCCTTTTTAGGTTTTGTCATTCGCCCTGCATGGACTCCTGATTTGATCTGCTCCAGTAAGGTAATCAGCATCACAAAGGCAACAAAGGAAATCAACTTTTTAGCAACCATGACTGTAATATCAAAAATAAAAGGAATGAAACTATAAATTTTGATTAATAATGATACAGAGAAACATAAACATGCAAAAACTAACGGGAAAATGTTCCGACGTTTCGGCGATCTCATGTCACCATTATCAAGGAATGGGAAATAAATAAATATGAGTTCAAAAAAATTCCTCTAAATTTGCATAAATCAAATAGAGCTAGACAAATACTTTAGCCCTTATTGAATCTGTTCGCGTTTTCAAGCGTGGTCTTAACGCTATTCAGACCGGGCTTCTTCTTTTTTTTTTTTAGTTTCCTCCCATTGGGGGGGGGGTAGGAGCTCGGAGGTCCCCCCCCCCCCCCCACTATAACTTCAAAGCCGCCCATCCTACGGCCCGCAAAATTAAACAAAACAATGTACTCATCATTTACAACTTCTGGGTATGAGTTTTTTGAAAAATGGCGAAATATGACGTCATTATTGCCCCTTTTTTTTGCATTTAGCGTAAAAATCAAAATTTCCCTCAAAGTAAAAATAAAGCAAAAAAAACTTAAATATTAAATCATCTGAAAAAAAATGTATAAAAAAAAAAGATCTCAACAAATTCTTTCCTCTTTTTTTTTTTTTTCTCTTTTTTCTATCTGTTTTTTTTCCCTTCTCCCCGCGGCCCTCTTCTTTTTTTTTTTTTGGTCCCCCCCTTGGGGGGGGGGGGGGGGACCACAGGCCCCCCCCCCCCCCCGCCACTATAACTTCAAAGCCGCTCATCCTACGGCCAGCAAAATTAAACACAACAATGTACTCATCATTTACAACTTCTGGGTATGAGTTATTTCAACAATGGCGTAATATGACGTCATTATGTCGCCTTATTGTTGCATCTAGCGTCAAAATCCAAATTTCCCTCAAAGTAAAAATAAAGCGAAAAAAACTTAAATAGTAAGGTCTCTGATAAAATCAAGGAGGTTGGCTAACACACAAATGATCTTTAACAATAGCAGTGATGTCAGGATGACTTCATTTATTACTAAACAATGATTCGGAAACATCGACGCCATCTTGAATCCACCATTTTGAATTATTTAAATGTATTTCATTTTACTTATTAAAAAACGCGTATAAATCGAGGTATTTTTTTAACGGAAAAAATTATTCTGAGTATAAACGGATGCATAGGAAGCCAAAAAAATATATATTTCAGCAAAATATGAAATTTCGAGGGATTTTTTCAAAATGTTACAGCGTGGTCTTTATTGCAGTATTTGCGCACAGAAGATGACAACTACGAATGCAAGAATAGACGCCCACACGTTGAAAACAATTAACAATAAAAATATTTTCGTATCTATTGATAACGGTAAAGGTTACTTTAATTTATATCGCTGGTTTTTGTTTTAAAATCAAGGTCTTTCGAGATTTGCAGTATAATAATAATAATATATAGATTTAGCCAGGGCTAAAAGCGAGGCTCCCGCATAATAATAACAACAATAAGTAATGGTAACAGGACTGAGTGGAGTCCAATTCGGTCTGTAATCATACGAGTGATTAACAAAATCGGACGACCGCGTGCGCGCGTGATGGCGCGTACTGTCCAATTACTCAGGCATGACGCGTACTGTCCTATTAAACTGTCCAATTAAGGCTGAAATCAGGGCAGTTGAGAGCCAATCAGATTTGACAATTTTGTTATAGTTATGATTATGATTATTATTATTATTATTACTACTACTATTATTCGTCAATAACGTTTTGAGAAGGCTATTTAATTTTCCTCTTTTTTTCAAGTAATTTTCATATTAAGAATGCAGTCGACCTGGAAAATAGTTTTTTTTTTAATCGAAATGGATTGTTTGAATTGAAATGAATTTTTTTCTAATCAAAATTAAGTGTTTTTGTTAAAGAAAGGAATTGTAAATAGTGTTTTGACGGAATCCTTTTTTTTAAGTGAATAATTGTAAATAGGATTTTAATAGTTAGTATTGTTATCAATAAAATATGTTCATAATAATAATAATAATAATAATAATAATAATAATAATAAATATTGTCATTATTATTATTATTATTATTATATTACTAATTTAATTTATATTTATGTAAACAAGGCATTGTTAGATTCTTCTTTATTTTCCATTTATTTCTCCACGATTTTACACTCGCACGACAGGGCACAAAGTTATGTTCCAAAAGCCCCCAAAAGTGACCTACATGTAAATTACATAGTTTGGACAAAAAAACATTCCTTATCTTTTGTTCTCGAGACATTTCAACTCCACAAGTCGAAATGGTTAGTCACTTTCCGTTTTATGATGTGAACACTAAAAAGCATGCACAAAAAAATACGTGCAGGATATGAATATGATCTTGCGTAACAAAATGTGCAATAAGTATACTAATTTTAAAAAACCTCAGAGTAAAATTTTAAAGGTAAATCGAATATTTCATTGGAGCCTTGCTATCAGTATTGATGTAAAATAGTACACGTGTTAGGTTACGCAACAGAAAGGTTGTAACATATTCCCAGTGGAGGGTTGTTGATGGCCGATAAAATGTACAACTTTGAGGCTCACGGATTTCACATTAATCGTGAAAAAGTTAATAATAATAATTATTATTATTATTTTTAAATTTGTACTTATATATATTTAAGACATGCATACCTTTTTATCCTTACCTTTTAGCTTCTAAGTAACTCTTGAACGAGATTGTTGGTTCTTTAGTGCTACCTGATAAAATGCCAAGTACGGTATGATGCGGGAGTTGTAGCTACTCCCCTTTTCTTATGTCACAGATATTCTTGATGAAATGCGTTCTATCTAAGGTTCAATAGATTCCCACGGAAACGGAAACGGAAACGGAAACGGAAACGGATTGAGCGTCGATCGACAATTGGCGGAATACAGTGAATTTTATAATGACATCGCCAGAAAGAAAAGGGTTACACCCACGGAACGGAAAACAATCCTAATAGATACTATCCATTAGGCAATCATCTCTTGGCTTCAGGCAGTTTTAATCAGTTTTCATTTGAGGATGGTAAAATTTGTAATGAAAATCGTACCTTACAGGGTGCATTTGACTTATAGGTTTTGGCGGTGAAGTTAGCAAATGATGTTGTATTCATGGAAAATAAGATACAACTAAGATAACCTTTCTAGTTAATAACAAATGTGATAATTTATGGTCTTCTTAAACATCCCGCTTTTTCGAGCCAAGAACTCTATTATTACCTTCATGAACATCTCTATAAATATTTACTTACAGCTCGGTTAAATTTCGGTAAAATTTATAAGGTAGAGCAGTTTTACACCATTTGTAAAGTGCAGCGTAATTCATATTCATATCACCAATCTTCATGCTTATCAATTAAACTTTCAATGTATAAGTTCAGCTAAGTGCAAAACACGGTAACTATCGAAAATGCTTATAAATTTCAATGAGGATCTTTTTACTGACTTCCGAACCTTAGAAAAATTCTTTTAGTGCGTTCAGCAGTTTAAAGTCTAACTTGTAAAGTATTTCTTAACAGATACCTAGTGAGGATTTTAGGTTTTTACCTTGGATTTTTTAAGAGGAACAGTTGTCTCACAGCAACGTAAAAAAACTTGAGGGTGAAATTGAATTCAAAGCAAATCACTGCCTTATAACGGGGGTACATGCAAAAACCATGTGCGATATTTTATTTAACTAAGAATTTAAAGGTTTTTATGCTTGGACTGTACTGATGGATTCATAAATAGGCATTTAAAATAAAGCTTCTTTGTCTTATGTCAACAATTCTTGAAATTGAAAAGCAAAACACTTCAAAGGGCTGACACGCAAAAGACGTGCGATTAATTAATTGTGAGAGCCCTAAAGCATGTTATCACCATCAAGCAGCATTAGACTTCTTTCTACGTCAGGTCTTCTTAATGAATTGCGTTCTTTCTGAGATTCCACAGATTATAACAGTACAGATTTTGCGTTGATGTTCATGCACCAGATCTCTAGTCTTTGGAATACAACGAATTTATAAAGAAAAAAAAAGTAAAAAAATTGGGTAACACCCTACTATCTCTCAGTTTTGTTTCAGAGTCCACAAACCCTAACTAACAACCGAAGCAATTTCAAACTGAGTTCTACTTACGAAGCCGAGAAGTTATACATGCAAGACGCCTTCACCCACGAGAGCTGTTACAAAGAGCATTTATTTTAATCACCTTTACTTTGGTCGAAGAGGGAGAGAAAACAAGCATCAATTTAATATCAAGCCTATAGCTCTCTAAAATCCAGAATTTTGGCCTGGAACCTTTTAATGCTGAAAAGAGAAAGGCCCGGAGGAGAGTTTTCCACCAAGAAATTACCAAACTGGTCTTGCTGGAAGCGACGAACCGGCCATCTGATAGGAAAATGGTCGAAGGCAAAGGCGGGGCTAACTCACATGACTGGTGGCAGCGGTGAGGGGATATCTGTCACAAGTAAATTCAAAATGTGAATCACTGCATGCTTCACACGCCTTTAACTGGTACCAAATGTCTGAGGCCATCTATACTGAACGGTCCTACTGAGCTATTACACGCTCAAGGGATCAAGAGCATGATGATAGCGTGTATGGTCTAATACCATGAGTATTTTGTCACCATCATTTTATAGGAAAAATCCCCAGATCATAGCTGTCATGATAAAAAACGACGCAAGTTTTTGGAATCGAGCGACCATCGACCGACGTTGGAGCAGTCCAAGTTTTCAGCGATCACAGTTTTCATCAATTCCTACATAACCGGCCATCAAGTTGCTATTAACTCATTATTAGAAGTAAATCGTTCTTCATTGGCAACAGTATCAAGAGCTATTCACCAATGCTCATCCTCAAATGTCGTTCAAAAGATCTATAGAACATTTTGCTCAACAATGTTGCACATGGCATCATTTTCTCGGGAAAGCTTCTTTTTATAAATTCAGCCTTATGCAAGTCACAGTTCATATGGCTGCATATAGGTTTAATAAGGGTTTATTATCATGGGGTAGATTGGTGCTTTAAG